CAACCTGACCTTGGGCAGATTATTTCCCTGTCTGTAGACTTCAACTGAAATAGAGAATCTCACAAATCCCGATTTTTACGTAAAGAATCCACAGTTCAGTATACCTTCGTTTGGCGTGCGAAAACAGAGAAAATGCTCTTCTAAAAATGGAAGACAGGACAGACACGGAACAGCTTGTCCTTTCCATCCAATGAAAAACCTCGTGAGACTCGACTAGCTCAAAAACACAACTCCGCAGCGGAGCCGCAGGCCTCCACGCCGGGTCGCGCCCTGCCCCAACGGCCGGTCCAGCCCCGACGCGGCGCCGTCCCGGGAGGACGGGGGCGCGGGCGGGCGCCGGGCGCGGGGCCGGGCGCGGGGCCGGGCGCGAGGGCGCGGGCACACGCGGAAGCGTCCGGCACGCCGGGGCTGACACGGCGGCTTCCGGGGCAGTGCGGGGCAGGCAGGGTCCCCGGCGGGCGGGGAGGCGGAGGGCACCTCCCAGGCGCCGAGGGGGCGAGCGTGGCGGGCTGGCACGGCCTGGCAGCCGAGCAGGCCCGGGCCGGGAGTGGCACCGGAGGGCGGTGCCCGGCTCCCCGAGCGCCGAGCGCCGGCCGCGGGACCCCTCCGGGCGAGAACCCCTCCCCCGCCACACGGGCACTGACCTGTCCAGGGCCCGGCTCGGCCTGGCCGGGCGGGGCCTACGCAGCCCCTCGGCCGGGCGCCGCCTCGCGCGGGGTCCCGGGCCCGGGCGGGCCGTCTCCTCTCCGCCGGGAGCCTCCGAGCCGGGGCCCGGGGCTGCCGCGGCGCGTCCGACCGCACCGGCCTGGCCGGCGTCAACAAAGGGCTGCGGGGGCGCGAGGCCGGGGCGGGGGCGCGGGCGGCGGCCGGATTGCGCGCGCGCGGCGGGGGCTCGAGGGCTGCAGCCGCCGCGGAGACAATGCGGCGCGTCCCGGCAGGGCTCCCGCGGCCGCCTCCGCCGGGGGCGGGGCGCGGCGCGGCGCGGGGCGGGGCCTGGCGGCGCGGGGCGGGGCCCGGGGGGCGGGGCGCGGCGCGGAAGCCGGGCCTCGCGCTTCCTTTGTGCGGCCGCGCCGGCCCCGCCCGCGCTCTCCGGAAGGCGCCCCGGCCCCGCGGCGGTTCAGGGACGTGGGCTTCGGGGGCAGGGAGGCGAGCGCCGCGCGGCCCGCACGAGCCCCCGGCGGCGTGGCGCACCGTGGACTCCCTCCCGCCCCGCCGATTCCGAGGCAGCAGTGATAACGACCAGCAGTAATCGAGGGCTTCGCGTGCGCCGAGTCTTCACAATGACCCTCCAAGGAGTCATTATTCTCCCCACTGGGAACCGAGGGTCAGAGAAGTCAAGTAATGGCCCAAGTGACCCAGTTACACCATAAACGGAGATAACGCCTCCTCTTTAGGCTTCCTGTGGAGGTGAACTGAGGACATTTACACAAATTGCCTGCGGTGCTTGGCACACAGTTGGAGCCCAATAAATGTTTCTTCTCTTCCTAAACCACCCTGGTTTAAACGCAATGGTCGTGTCCATTCACCAGCTACGCTGGGAGCCGTGGGGGATGCAAGAGGTGGGCCAGGTGACCCCCCAGCCTCGCCGCCCCGCCCCCCAGCTTTATCAGGAATAGGTGACGCGGACTTCTCCCTCCATGCTTGACGCTCTCTTTTCCTATTTTCTTGCCTTTTTTAGCATTCGTATTCTCCCTCCCCCACCACGCCCCCTGCCCCCGCTTTTTCCCTTCTTTTGTTTCTGCGTCTTATATTTATTTTATATGCACTGATTGTTCACTCCCTCTTCCCCCTATTCCTCTTCCTTTCCCTCTACTGTTTTTCGGATTTTCAATGTCTTCTTTCAAAAATATTCCCATTTCCTCCTCCTTTCTGATTTGCATTTCTTACACTTACACAGGATAGAATACTCCACTTCTATTTCCTATAAAACAGGCCCGCAGTTTCCTGCCTCCTTACCTTTACTTCCTCCTAGATTGCCCTTTCCCCAACTCTGCAGGTCTAGGTCCTACTTATCCTTCAAGTTCTGGACAACCTTTCCTGTAAGGAGCCAGACAGCAAATACTTTAGACTTGGCTGGATATACTTTCCCTGTTGCAACTATTCAGCCCTGCTGTTGTAGTCGGACAGCAATCACAGACAAAATACTGTGTTCCAATAAAACTCTTATTTATAGACACTGAAATTTAGATTTCATATAATTTTCACATATCATGAAGTATTCTTCTTTTGAGTCTTAAAAAACTTTTCAAATGTAAAACCCATTAAAAAACAGTTTACAAAAACTGGTGATGTGATAGATTTGGCCCTTGGGATGTAATTTGCCAGCCCATGCTCTAGAACAGTGCCACTTCCTCCTGGCAATCTATCCTGATAATCTCTACTTGGTAGTAACTCTTCCCTCTTAACTTTTAAAGCACTTACCTATAATCCTTCCAGGGCATTTATCACATTTTGGTTTTTAATGTATGTTTTCTTCCTGTGCATTTCTCATCTTTCCCAGCAGACCTTAAGCTCGTTGAAGGTGAAGCACAGACCTTATTTCTCTATGTATTACCTCCCAGCCCACAGTGCTTTGCATGGAGCAGGCATTCAAACATATACAGAATGGATCAATACTTAAGTCTTGGGTGGTTCACAGTTGTTTCCACTGTGTAAAGCTTACTTCTCTCATGAGATAGTACCTCAAGAACAGGATGCTTGTTGTAATTATAGATTTCAGAAAGATTTTTGAGAGCTTCATGAGAAGACAGAGAAAAACAGGTAATGTCAGTTCATTTAGGAGTTGCTGAATAACAAGTACTTGAACAAAGAATGTATATTATCACCAACCTGCAGACAGATCATGTGTCCTCAGTCGGGTCCTATTCAACATTTCTATCAGCACATTGGTTAAAGACAAAGAGAACATGCTATATGATTTACAGATGGCAAAGTCAAGCAGAGGAGTTAATATAAAGAATCACAAAATCCAGGTTCAAAACATTCCCACCCCATCACTGATTCCGTGTCTCTGTTTTCCTATCTTTCAAATGGGGATGATAAAAGTCCTTTCCTACCTCACAGGGTTACTGTCAGGACTAAATGAGGAAATACACATAAAGCCTGGCAGAGAAGGCTCAGTAAATATTAGCTATTAACCATTTTCTTGCTGGGCAGGAACTACAGGCTGACCTCACGAGGTAACATTTAATAGATATAATTAACTATATTTTGGCTCAAAATATAAATTGTACAAGTTTGAGACTGTAGAGACCTGGAATGACAGCAGTCCATGTAAAACGAAACCTCAAAAACAAAATAAAAAATAAACCCCAAAGCCAACCCTCTGGGATTCAGGTGACACAGGGCTCTGTGAGCCAGCAGTGTCATTCCCCTGGGAAGGAGGAGCTACCATGGGGCTATGAGTACGTTGCACTGATGTAGGAAGGTGAGGGAGTTCTGCTCGGGAGCCAGAGTCAGGGCACTGCCTTTTCATAACAGTGTGACCTGGACTCTCTATAGGCTTTTATTCCCTCCTCTGAATCATGAGGACAATAGTATTTATCTTTCAGGGTTCTCATGAATGAGTAAAGGAAAACTTAGAACAGTACTTGGTACCTAGTAGGTATACAAACAAATCTCAGTTCCTCCCTACCATACCAAACAGATCTAGGAAACAGTCCTGCCCCTTGAAGGGCTTATAAAGATAGGTTTGGGTGCCAACCGATGGTGGCTAGTGGCTTTTTATATTTGGAATTACTGTGCTTAATTTGGGGGCTCATACTTTGGGAGAATTAATGCAAAGGTGGAATGTGGTTAAATAAGAACAACCAGATGGTGAGAATGGAAGGTCTTGACATGGGATGTGGGGAAAAAAAAGGTCTCAAATATGCAGCCTGGAGATTTTCCCTCTTAATGGGAGGGACAAGAAAGGGACATGGTAACTGTCTACAAACACTGCAGGAGATGGAGATGGACCCTGTTATAATTCACAAAACATTCACAGCCAGTGGTGGAAGTTCCAGGAGAGCTGGTTTTGGCTTACTTTGAAGAGCAACTTTCTGATAATTAGAGCAACTCCACAATGGAACGGGCTGCTTTTCAAACTGGTGAACCCCTTACTATTGCAAGTGCCAAGAGAATGGATGGCCTCCTTCCACTCTTTTACTTTTCTTTTCCTTGATCCCATCCTCTATTCCGTACAGAAAACCAAGAGCCCTTTCCCCTACTTTGTTCCCAAGTGCTTGTCTTCTCATTTCTCTTTCTTGAGTTTCCAACCTCTTTGTCTGTCGGCTCTCCCAAACCCGACTCCCAGCACACCCTTAGTCCACTGACTAGAACTGCCTCCCAGACTTGCAGGTGGCCCATTGCTCAGAATGCCACAGATCTGGGCCAAGATTGCATACCAGCAGAGAGGGGACCCAGAGGTTGTGCTGTGACTCTCCCATCAGGGTAGAGGGATCCAGCAGAGTGTCCTGAAACCTAGTCATGGAGAAGGCCATTTGTCACTGGGCACTCACAGACACACGGGGATCCCAGAACTGAGCAGTTCTTTCAAAGATGCTTTCCATGAGCTGAACATATTCTGAACTTCCTTTGCCCTTCCCCTAGGCACTTGCCTTATCTTTGATTTATGGCAGCCATTTGTCATATTTTCAATTTCAAGAACTCCTTCTCAAAGCAAAGGAAGCAGAGAATTGAAACAACTGCATACCTGCCTGAACTCTGAACCTGACATATGAATATGCAGATATATCTGACAGCAATGCCATTTAGGCCTCAGAGTCTGGATCTAGAACTTTCCTTATCCTTCTTTATCCTTTTCTATCTTCTAGGTCCCCTTTCTTTATCTTTGGTTTATCTTCCCGTTTCCCTCCTCTGTTTCTACCCATACCAGCTTCCTTGTTGCCTTATGGGCTTGCAGTGGTTTACCCGCCCAGGCCAGATGTCCAAGTGAAATGTGGGATGGCAAGGAAAGCCAACTCTCCCCCCTCCCTCAAGGGCCCCACTAAACTTCATACCGTGAGCTGGGGACTGCTGGATGTTAGGGCTCTTGGGGACAGGCAGGCCTCCAGGCACGGCAGTGATGATGGCCTGTTGATGTGGTGATGGGCCAGACCGAGTCTCAGGCACACTCTTCTCTCCAGGTACTGCTTCCTTCCAGTCATCCATGTTACACTCCTGGGGCTGTGAAGGGAGAGGACAGAGATAATCTTATAAATTGCCTCAACATCCTTGAATACTTGCCCTGTTTCTGAAGAGTCTGGGTAGCAGGCAAGGACATTAAGATTCAGCCAGCCCTAAATTAGGGAGAGGCCTCTTGGCTCTCTTGGATCACCCAGAGAGGACTTAGACCAAAACACATCCGCATGGGGGCTGTGGCATTGCCCGAGCTGTGTCTTCTCATTTGTTTCCCGGACCTTGGCACTGGCTTACTCACCACTGGTGAAGCAGGCTGCAGTTGTAAGATGACAGCTGAAGCGTGTTGGAACCTGCGTTGAGGGGTGTGGGCCAGGCCCTCAGGGTATCCATTGTGGGGCCCAGTGTCTGGCGTGGGAGGGTGACACTGCTGAGTGCTGCCAGCCTTGTGCAGATTGGCCGTGGGGCACTGGAGAGGCAGGGCAGGTGTAACCGGGCCTAGTGGCATGGCGTGGGCTTCGGGGCTGGGCTGCAGGGTCAGGCTGGGAGGGACCGAGGCGAGCTGGGGGTGGGACTGGGCTTGGAGCGCTGGCCGGGACTGCTGTGGCGGTGGTGGTGGTGGCGGTGGTGCTGGCTGCTGTGGCTGCTGCTGGAGCACGAACTGGGGCTGCAGGTGCTTTGAGGGTGGCTGCGAGAGGAGCTGGTGCGGTTGCAGCTGAGCATAGGCTGCAGGGGGACAGAGCAGGTCAGGGGGCACAGGTTGACCTCATCTTCTGCTGTGGCCCCAACTCTGCCCCTCCCACCTACATATCACAATGGCTTCCCAGACTCAAGGTCTCGGCTTTGATCTCTTTCAGCTTTTGCCTAGACCCTGGCCTGGCCAGGCCACTGCCACAGCCCCCAACTGTCTGTTTCCTTGCCTTCCTCCTGTGCTAAAGCTTGGCTGCCCCTCAAAGCCCACTGCAAAACTCACCTCCTCTAGGAAGCCCTCTTGGACCGTGCCAGCTGTTCAGAGAATCCCTGGATTCTACGGTGTGCCATATTGTCTGGCCCCTCCATGCCCTTCACTCACTCTTCTCTGAGCCTGCAATCAGTGTGGCCTCCCATTGCCCAACCCAACACTGGCTCTACTCAGGCTGGGCTTCCTCTGGCAAGAGTCAATTGCACACAGGACCTGGGACTGTTACATACAGAAGGGCCTCAGGCTAGCTGCTAAACCTCTCTAGGCCTTGGCTTCCTTGTCTGAAAGTTGGAAATAAAAATCATTCCCACCCAGAAAGTTGTTGTAGGGATGAAATGAGAAAAAATTGTGTGAATAAAATGAGAAAAAAAAGTGATATGGTGTGCATAGCACGGTAATTGTCAAACAGTCATGCTCGATTATTTCTAGCTATAATTAAAGTGATGATTGGTTTAGGTTCTCAAAGTATGCTGGACTTACATTTACCATAAGAACTTGTATCACAGTGTATTATAATTGTTTCTTAGCTTTCTTCCTTTGGAGATCGTGAACCCCTTGTGTCAGAAATTATCCCAGATCTCTTTATCCAGAACCTGGCCTAATGCCTGACATTGGATGGGTGCTAAAGAAATAAACTTCTTGTCCTGAACTGGAATCCATTTGTTGCCATGTGCTGCTAGCCTTTTCTTCTCCTGGCATTTTAACCAGGCAACTCTTTGAGGTAGGGATTCGCATACTTTTTTTAGTAATCCATTTAGTGTCTAGCTCATGCCTTGTATACAGTACAGATTTAGATTCAGCTTAGAGATTGATTGTCCTTCCTCCTAACCCTGCCTTGTGGCATCCAGGCCAGCTTAGCATGAGGGTAGCTCCCCCGAATCTGTCTTGCCTGAATGGGGCCCTCCACCAAGACTCCCACAGCTGGGGAACTACTGCAGACAGGCTATGCCTTGCCAACGCAGAGGGCCACAGCTGGAAGCTCACAAACAGATTTTTACAACCGAAGCCTCCAAGCTAATAGGGATAAAGGCAAATTTTGGACCCTGAGCTAACATTTTAAGAGTCCTGTGATCCCGACAGGTGCAAAGCAAGCAGATTTCAAACTAAGCTGGGGCTTTTTTCTTAAATTTTGTCTATTTACACATACGTTTCCAACTATCTCATCACAGCCCAGCATAGAATTCCAAGCAGAAGGCCAATCAGAATGGAATGGAATGGAATGGAATGGAATGGAATGGAATGGAATGGAATGGAATGGAATGGAAAGGAAAGGAAAGGAAAGGAAAGGAAAGGAAAGGAAAGGAAAGGAAAGGAAAAACAACATGGCCTCTGGTAACTGGCAGAGAACAGAAAAGGGTTGAGAAATGCACCAGGTTTGAGGTGATGGGGGACCATCCAAATGGAAATTGTCAGTAGGAATTTGGTGATTATAAATTGCCCCTGCCTCCCACTTAAGCCTTTTCTCCCAATTCCACATTGAATAGCATAACTTAATCAGGCAAAGATTGTCAATCAGGCAAACTAAACAATCAGGACTCTTTGAGAGGACTGTTGATGAGGCACCCAGGAGATCCCACAGATGCCACACAGTGCCCCGTTAGGCTTGAGCAGTTACAAAGACCATAAAGACCATAGAAAGATGGGCACCATCACTGAAAACCCAAGCAAATCTTTCTGTCTCTCAGTATAAAGTCATGAAGTCCTGCCCGGGAACAGTTGCTCTAGGGGTTGCCCATCAGAGGTGAGAGCGGGTGCAGGCATGAGGCAGGGAGCTAGCGTCAATGGCACATCCCACCACTCCCTGGCTGTGTGCCCAGAGGTGGGTCCTATTCCTTCTCAGGGATTCAGAGTTTTATCTAAAACAGGAAGTTTGGGTGAGGTGAACACATGAGTCTTTCCCAGCTCTAGTCTGATGGGGGTGGCTATCATAAGAAAGTGGTTTAAAACTCAGAATTTATAAGGTGGTGTAGATGGGACGGACGCCTGCGTGGCTCAGCGGTTGAGCGTCTGCCTTAGGCTCAAGGCGTGATCCCAGGATCTGGGATCTAGTCCCACATTGGGCTCCCTGCAAGGAGCCTGCTTCTCCCTCTGCCTGTGTCTCTACCTCTTCTGTGTGTCTCTCCTGAATAAATAAATAAATCTGAAAAAAAAAAAAAAAAACGGATGGTGTAGAGGCGGGCGCCTGGGTGGTTCAGTTGGTTAAGCGTCTGCCTTTGGCTCAGGTCATGGCCCAGGGTCCTGGGATCAAGGCATGCATTGGGCTTCCTGCTCAGTGAGGAGTCTGCCTCTCCCTCTCCTTCTGTCCCTCACCCCGACTTGTGCTCTCTCTCTCTTAAATAAATAGATAAAATCTTTAAAGAAAAATAAAATACAAAGTGGTGAAAAGAAGGTCAGAGGGGAAAAGAGTTCTAAGTCTCCAGTGCATAGAGTACAGTTAAGGACAAAACACATTTGCTTGCCAAATTGGGAAAGCAACTGCTGGCCTGCTGGCCGGCTACCCCAGGGCCTCCCCATCTATCCCACTCTCCCCTCTGCTGCTCCTGGAAAACTGAAGGCATTGTTTTGGAACAGATGATGCTAGTGTATGCCATGGCTGGAAACAAAGCTCATGAAGCCTTAGATAAGTTCATAAATCAAAGGCTCAAGGTATTTTGGGGAAGTGTACATCCGTAAACTTTTGAGGTTAATAAAAAGCAAAGACCACGATTTAACTCCGGCATTATCCTGGGTCAAAAGTCCTTTTATTTAAAGTACTGTGATAACTTTGTAGTTGGTCTTTCTGATTCGGGGTTTCTTCTCTCTATAATCCATTTTATAGATTGCAAATTAATCTTTCTTTTGCAAGTTAATCTTCCTAGCGCATAGATCTGACTCCCGATTAAAAGCTAACAGGGATCCTCCTTTGTCTGTTGACTAAAGCTCCAGGCATTCAAGATCTCTTTACAACCTTTTAATTTCTATTATTTTTTTGATCTGAGCAATCTACTACTCATTGTCCCCTGTACAGAGTTTATGCTTTGTCTCATCCCACCTAGAGTGTCACACAAATCAAATCTTCATCATCCTTTTTCTGCCCTTACAGCTAAGGAAATTCTTCCCTTTGAAGTACATCAAGGTCTGTCTGCTTTGCATCGCCCTCAGAGATGCAGCATGTCTAGTGGGCAACTTAAAGTTCTAGAGTCAAAGTGCTTGGATTTGAATCTTAGCTCTGCCACTTACCAGCAGTGTAATGCTGGGCAAGTTACTTGACCTCTGTTTCTCTGTGTCATCATCATTAAAAGGGGTAATGATGATACCTATTTCAAATGACTTGTCTCTTTTAGTAGGCAGAATTGATGGGATTCACTTATTTCATCCAAAGAACCTTGAATTTAGTGGATGCTTAATCAGTATTGGGGAATGAATGAATGACAACGTGGTGGAACTCCAGCTATTGTCCCACAAAACCTTTCCTTTTCAGAGCCAGAACATGGATGAGAGGGATATAAGCCCATGATCTTTTTGGTTTAATCAGCATTCTGGTTTATGGAAGACCCTCCTCCTATTCAACCCCTGCCCACTACCTTCCTGCACTAACTTTCAACCCACCCTAGCTGCTCCACTCGCTGTGCATAAAATGTCATATCCCATCGAGCCTGTTTGGCTTTGATTTTGGTGCTTCCATTTTCTGGAATGCCCTCCTCTTGCTTCAGTGATCTGAGGCTTACGCTTCTTTGGCTCAGGCTCAGCTCCTGTTGTCTCCCTCTTTGCCTTAACTCTTAATTATGGGTTTTCCCGCAGAATTCCTGGAAGTTTTTATCGTTTGATTGATTTGTGATTTAACATGTACTATCTTGTATACGTATTTCACTGATTCTTAAACATTGATTCTTATCCCCAGCCCACCCCACCCACACACATTTGAACATAATATCCTTTGAATTGGGATGCATATGGCAACTGCTATCTGGTCAACTGGCAGTGCTTTTCTTCCTTAAAGTTTAATAAAATAATGGTGTATCTCACAATCAGTGGCCTCCTACATTAAGTCAAACAGGAATACTTTTATTCTTGTGTGTATTTCCTATCTCTCTAGCTGTCCTGTTTCAGTCAAAGGTATGTTCTATGTTTCTTTTTATTTTTTTTAATTTAAAAGATATGATTTAATTTAGTTGGAAGGTTTTATTTTATTTTATTTTTTACTTATTTATTCATGAGAGACACAGAGAGAGGCAGAGACACAGGCAGAGGGAGAAGCGGGTTCCATGCAGGGACCCCGACGTGGGACTCGATCCCGGGTCTCCAGGGTCACGCTCTGGGCTGAAGGCGACGCTAAACCGCTGAGCCACCCGGGCTGCCCTAGCTGGAAGGTTTTTATGTCTCCTTTTACCTTCTACGTTGTCCAACATGATACTCTACGTGTTTGCAGATGCTTAGTAAACATCTGCTGTTGATCACAGTAAGATCAATGAATGCATCTCCCTCTACCATGCCCTCCAGCTCAGTTTGGGGTGGTAAAGGGCATTTGCAGCCATGATACCAGAGCAGGCCATGCTCCTCTTTCCCACAGGTAGGATGGGGCATATCAGTTTATGAAATGTTAATACACAGAAATCTCTTTTTTCTTTTTCTTAACTTTTTCTAGTGCCCAGTAGCTTCATTTTTTCCCTGCACCTACTTTGGCTCCCCTATCCCCTCCTGCTGTAAAGTACACTGCTTCTAAGGAACAAAGGGTTGCTTCCTTGGGACCTCTACCACAACTTTGGAAGGCTCCATCAGCCCTTCC